TGAATGCCCGTAACACCGCTGATGACGTTTTCAAGTTACTGAAGATTCACGACGACGGGTTCAGCATGGTTATCAGTCGGAAGTTGCAGGTTCTCGAGGACTACATTAATTTCGTCAAGGCTAAGGAGCCTCGTTTGGCGGCATCTCTGCTCACCACATCTCTGCTTACCACATTGACTAAAGGCTTTGGTGGTGAAGAAAAGATGTGGGCTCTTTTGCAGACTGCAAGGTTGAATGGCCCCACCAAGCACCAGGCCGATGTTATGGAAACTTCTCTACTAAAAAAGTGGGCGGATGAAGGTCAGTTGCCAGAAAACGTCTTTCAATGGCTAAGGCTTCCCAACAAAGTGGACGACGCTTTCAAATCCAATAACTTGAACAAGTTTGCGACCTACGTCGACGATTTTAATAGCCTTGACAAGGAACCCAACAGCAAAAAGTCAGTGATTGAGATCTACACGAACTCTTTTGGAGACGCTAGGGTGGCAGGGAGACTCATGTCAGCAATGGACAGTGAGCGTACAAGAAAGGTTGCGAAGAAGCTACAGGCAGAGCAGGTGGAGCATTGGGCCAAGAGCACGAAGTCAGCTGAAGATGTGGTCAAAATCCTGAAGATTCAGAGCGATGAAGCGGCAGCAATTACTCGACGGAAATTGGCCGCACTGCAAGAGTTCAGCAAGCTGAAGGGTGAAGAACAAAACTTAATCAAGATTTTGACGGAGAGTCTTGGTAGTAAAGGTACCCTGGCAACGACTTTGGAAAGTGCAACTGTGCCCTCGCATACTACAACGTTGCAGAAAAAACAATTTGCATCGCTGATAGAAGACAGTGTCACACCGGCGAACTTTATGACCTCTGTATTCAACACGGGTGTCGAGTCCGCTACGGTTGTGCAGAAAAGGATTGCGGACAAGTTCACGTCGTTCTTCAAGAATACGAGAAGGAGTGATTAAGCCAGGCGGTTTAAGTCCCTGAAATCCAGGTAAATTACAAAACGCCTAGTCTTACTGTCTTACTGGTCCGTAGAAAAGAGTAATGAAGTAAACGAAGTGTTACTGCAACAGTTGCAAACTCTTCCGGATATACAAATGATCTTCTCCATCGCAATATCCGTACCAGCATTATCGCAGCTGAAGATACGCCTCGGCGAAAAATGCACCCATGTCAACTGCTTAATTTTTTAGACAGTACTGAAAAC